GTTATTAAATAAAAATTTTTTGAACTTCTCCTTCTCAAGTCGAAACTAAAAACAAAAGCAAAAAAATTAAAGAAATTGACACATTATAAGGCTTATAAATATAAAAATAAATTACGTTTGATTAAAATTGATAGAAAAATACTGAATAGTCCTTTTTTTATTATAGAGGTTATTTAGTGTCCCTTGAAAAGAATAACAGTACATTCCTACAATCATAGTCATTCTCTAATTTAACTAGCTAATTATTTTAAGATAATCTCTATTAAATGCTATCAGTTTATCAAAAGCTCTCTGTTCCAGTGCCATAATACTAGTCATTTCCGTTTTTGGTGAACGCGAAAATGATGCTGCAATTTAGCTAGAAAATATATACGGAGGTTGAAGTTTCCTTAAAACACTGCTTAGGCATTGTTATTTTTGAATCTAAAGCATTTTAAGAAATTCGGGGTCATAATCTAAATGAAGCTAGATAGGAAGTGCAAGCGCATCCTAACCACATTAATATTGGGAATTGGGAAAATGGAAGAACCGAAGATATGGCATCAGTACCCATCGAGATAGCGTACTACAGCGGCAACCCTTTGCCGGAGTTTGGTGTGCAAAACCAATTCCATGAAAAATAGGCTCAAAAATCAAGATTCCAAATTCATAAACCCACACGCTTTTTGACACGGGAATTGGGGAGGGGGATCTCTCATGGTCTCTCCTTCTTGCGGATTAATATTGCTGAAACAGATGTGGGATTCGCCAAGATTTCATTTGTAAGAGGAAGAAGTGGAATGAAGCTGCTCTCTGGTAAAAGAAAATGAACAGAAGCACTCCGCGGGGAATTCAAAGCTCGGTTTCACGGCCATCGTTGCAGCCTCCAGTTAACTCGATATGTTTTGTTTGTTTTAAGAAAAATGTCAATCAAGGATAACTGGACCATATTTATATCAATCAATAATTAATAAATTTTAAAATTTCATTGCAGTTCATCTGTCCCTGACCGACATTGATTTTTTCATGCATGATGATCAAATTATTTCTAAAACATACTTAAAAAAGTCATCTCAGTGTCGTCAGCGCCGGTCATTGGGGTGGGTTTCGATGCTGGTAACACTTTTTTATTGAATTGGTAAAGGTGAATGAGGAAGTTTGATCTCACAACTTTGGCCATTAAAAAAAAAATTGATGGCTATCAAGACACCAAACTTATTTAATTATATATGATAATATATATATATCAATTCAAGGTTTTAAAGTACTTCTATATTATAACATAACAGTACATTATTAATTTTAAAACGGTACTTATTATTTTATTAATATTATTTATTAATTTAATATGATTAATTATAAATTCAGAGTTTTAAAATTTTACACATTTTACTTGTTAAAATCTAAATGTATTATTGTTAATAATGAAATAGTTATTGTTAAAATGTGAATGAATACTTATTGATAAATGACTAATACTTATATAACTAAGTCTATTATATTAGCTTTTTGTCAAAACTTAAATGGATTGTTGTTAATTTTAAAAGAGTTGTTGTTAAAATTTAAATAGATACTTATTGATGGAGGGTTAATACTTCTATAATTAAGCCAATCTTATCCCTTTTTTAAAATTGCAAAAGCTCCAATTACTTGCTATTGATATTTTCCCTTGTTTTTAACTTTTACTTTCTCTCTTTCTGTATATAAGATAAAAAAAATTATATCACACAATTTAAAAAAATTAATTAACTATAATAATTATGTAAAAAAATAAAAGAATTGAACTAAAATGCTTTATGTTAATCAACATAAACATTCATTAATTATTTTTTATTAATATAAATTATGAGAGATAATTTAAAAAATATAAAATAAATGTTTATTGAAATATATAATTTTATTTATATAAAAAAATAAATAAAAAGTAATAGTTTTTTTTTTTTACAAAACGGAATTGTATATGATAATTTGTCAAATCATACTCGATGCATTTTAAAAAAAAGGAAATCTTGATTCGGATTTTGAGTTCCAGTAAAAGCATCAGTATCAGTATAATTTTTTTAATTCTGCGGCGAACATGAGACGAGAAATTTGAAATATCCAAATTTTAAATTGGAAAAATGTATGAAACTCTGGGAGAGGCCGCCTGCCATTTGGTAAACATAGGCGGTGCCAAGTGGGGTTCCTCCATTTTCAAATAGCGATAATTTATTTTATTTTAATCATAAATTTAATGAATGATTATGATGGATAAAAAAAAAAAAAAGGAGATAAAGTGAGTGGAGAGGCCCTCTCCCAACCGTGACTCGAGCACATTACCAGGTGTGATCACGCCAATTGGATTGAAATCTTGGTAAAGATCAACATGTCCATGGCCACGTGCTATTTGGCAAACACAGCCTTGCACACGCTTTTCTTTTTCTTTTTCTGTTTTCTTTTTGGTTTTGAATTTGGAGGCAATTTGACTTTCCATTTATATTAAAAAAAACTATTTATCACAAAACTACACTTTTAACAATATTTATCTAGGTACTATAAATTAAAATTTAGTTTGATGAACACCAAGTTTCAAAATTTTTCTTGTTAGAAATATGCACAGAACTTTTATTTGATTTTTTAAAAAAAATCAAATATTTATCCCATCTTCTCTATCTTCAATCAAAATTTTTTTGTCAGACATTTATCAAGCCCAATTTTATTTAATTTAAAAAAATTAAATATTCATATCATCCTCTCTCTCCTCAATTAAGTTCTAATCAATTATTTGAGCAAAATTTAAACCATGCAATCCTTATTTTAACATCATTAGCTCCGTTAAAAATTAAAGAATCAATTAAAATTAAAATGTTAATATCTAATACAACATTAGATGCTTGGATTAACCAATTAAATCACTGTGAATCTCTAAAATTGTCAAACAAAATGCTGCGAGTGATACTAAGTCATCATAGGTCAAAATAATAAAATTGTTATCACATTTTAGGCTATGTCATAACTGATACTAAATTACTGTAAATCCTTAAAAATGTGAATTGAAATATTATGAATGAGACTGAGTCATTGTATCATCTCTATTTTTACTCCTTGAATGTAAATGAAAAAGTTTATAATCATATAAATATTAAAGAAATTATGTTTAGTAAAATACACTAGTAGAGTTTAATTTTTAAGATGTTAATGGAGCACTACAAAGATTATATAATGTGTGTGGGGGGGGGGGGGTTATATATTACTCTTCTAGTCTTCTATATTAGTCACTTTCTATGAGTGTAATCTAATTCACTTTATAAGCTACTAACTAATGAGATTGTTTGCTTCAAATTAAAATTCTCAAATTACCTTTGAAAGGTAAGAGAGAGAAATATAGAAAAAATAATATTATATTATTTGTTTTTTTTATTTTTACTCGAGAGTTATATATAAAACTTTACTTACTTTTATTCTTTATACTTTTATTACATTAGTATTAATAAGATTGATAAAAAATAATTTATAAATAGAATCAGAGAGAGTATTAATTATTGAAAAGAAAAGAAGGAAGAAGATTGAACAAAAACAAAGAGAAAACAAAGAATAGATACATAACGTAAAGCCCACTAACTTATCTTATTATTTTCAATCCTATTTTTTCTTCTCACACATCACTTCCTTTTTCTTTCCTTTTGTCTTCCTCTAGCACGGCGCACGGTGAGAAATTGAGACAAAAGGCGAGCAAAATTTTAAAGATAGGGCTCTATAATAAGATATTCCAAGTATGATCTCAAGCTTTTTTAGACTATATAAATATTTTAAATATTTTTTTAATCACATACTCTCTTTAGTTTTTAATTCACTGATGATAGAAAACTTAGGGTTTGATATAATTTGAGTTTTTAGAGATTTTAATTTATTATTTAATTTTTAACTGAGTTAATGATGTTGAAATAAGAATTGCATTGTTTATATTTTACCTAAACAAGAGAAGAAGTGACGGATATTTGATTTTTTTAAGTTAAAGTACATCTCTAACAAAAAAATTTTTGAAACTCAGTATTAATCAAATTGAATGTTAATTTATAGTATTTAGATAAATATTATTAAAAGTGCAATATTGTGATAAATATTTTTTTTATAACATAAAGGTCAATTTATCATTTGAAATATATTGTCAGGTATTGGCCATAATAAAAAAAAAGGTTATGACCACTGAACAGAAAAACTTTTGAAAGAGTTACTGTCCACTAAACTCAAATTTTACTCAATCCAACAATTTAATAGTCATATATTTTTTTATTAAAAAATATAAAGTATTTTTGGAGGACTGAATATTAAAAAAATATAAAATATTTTTAATCTTTTAAAATGTAATTATTATTTTTTATAAAGTGTTCATATTGAATATATTACTTTATATTTTTTAAGATAAAAGATTCTATTAAATAAGAATAAATATAAAAAGATAGAATTAGTTTAAAGTTAAGTAATTATTTTATTGAAATAAGATTTAATTAAATATACTTTATATTAAAAAAATAAAAAATAACTTATTTAAGGTACAGCAGGCCATTACATTTTGAGCATATTCTTCAAGTGAAACTTGAAGATTGATTCGCCACTTGATTAATAATCAAGCCCACTACTAGACTCAATCTCATATTTTCAAAAAGAAAAAAAAAAAGACATTAGCAATCAATGATGACAATAATAAGCCCAACGGAGAGAAGTACACAACATGATATGCCGCCTTTTAACTCGTATTTCAATTTTCAAATAATCTGCTCGACTCTCTCGCCCTCATTCTAACCACATCCCGTCGTCATCTCAATTCTCACGCCATTATTCCAAGTTAAACAAAATCATTTACCTCAGGCCCGAGAATTGGTTTCCCTTGCGATCTCATGTGATGATATCAATTGGACTGAAATTGTGAAACGATGACTGATGATGTGACGCCCATGGCCACATGATCTGACGGCCAAAAATAGAATGACAAAAGGAGGATGGGCGAGTGGAGATTAGAGTTGGCTATATATGTAAGCCCCGCGACGTTTTTTTCAGCTCCTCGTCCATATCATGTCTGCTACTACTCCCATTCCTTCCAACATCGATACCTTGCCGGAGGACTGCGTCTCCGCCATTCTCTCCTTCACTTCTCCGGCCGATGCCTCCAGATTTTGCTCGGTCTCCTCCTCCCTCCGGTCCCCTGCTCTTTCCGATCTCCTCTGGCTCTCCTTCTTGCCCGATGACTACCCCAACATCCTTTCCAGGGCGGTCACCCCTCTCCTCTTCTCTTCCAAAAGAGACCTCTTTTACGCTCTTTCCCGTCCGATTCTCATTGATGGTGGCTCCAAGGTAAACCCCTGCGCCTTCTTTCGATTCCCTATCCGTTTCTCTTTCCTTTCTAATTTTCCAATTTCCAATTTCGTTTCGCAGAGCTTCCAATTAGACAAGTCTTCTGGTGAAAAATCTTACATCCTGTCTGCTACGGAGTTATCTGTGACGTGGGGCAACGACCCCCTGTTATGGAGCTGGACACCCATGCCCGAATCAAGGTTTCGCTCTTGTAAAATTCTCCGTTGAACTGTTGATAGTTAAGTCTGAGGGGGAAACAATTAAATGAATGATTTTTCAGGTTCTCGGTGGTTGCTCATCTCAGAACAGTGAGCTGGTTGGAAATTAAGTGCACAATCAGAACTGGGATTCTGACACCCAGCACCTGGTACGGAGCTTATCTGATAATGAAGGTGTCTCGTCGAGCGTACGGGCTTGACCGTGCAGCTTCTGAAGTTTCAGTCGAGGTGGGAAACGTGGTGAAGAAGGGGAAGGCATATCTGTGCGACAGAGACGAGAGGAAGCAGAAAATGGAGGCTCTGTTTTATGGGAGCCGGAGAGAGATGTTGAGGGAGTCGTCGGAGACGGAAGAAGATGAGAAATTTCCGTCGAGAAGGGAAGATGGTTGGATGGAGATTGAGTTGGGGGAGTTTTACAGTGGGGAAGAAGATCAGGACGTGAAGGTGAGTCTGATGGAAGTGGGCTATCAATTGAAAGCAGGGCTTATCCTGGAAGGCGTTGAACTCAGACCAAACCATGTTTGATCAGAACCACAGCTACAAAACCCAGACGTCACGTGAGAATAAGTCTGGTAGTTTGACAGTCAGGCTCAGGCCACATCTTTCATGTGTTTGGCATTGGAGTAGTTATTTTGATATGATCTCAGTTTATTGAGGGTATTAGCTTAATCAAAGCTCCCCTTTTATTTCATTTTTTTTAATTGATTTATTGATTATTGATATCCTGTCCTTCAACGGCTAACCGTAATGATGTCATCATAAAAACATTAATTGCTACTGTTATAATGTTATATAAATATAATTACATGTCTTTTTAAGCAATAGAGTGTAACAGAAGAACAACAGAAGCCCACACCGATAATAATAATATAAATTTACTAGAAAGCAAATATGAAAACCATTATTAATAAAATGGAATAGTGTGATAAGTCATGCTCAGGCCTTATTATCTGAGAATTTTATAAAGGAATATTGTATTTAGTCATTGTATGAGAACTGTTGTGGAATTGATTGGATAATAAATTATGACTTGTTTTATCAACATTAACTAAACAAAAAAAAAATCTGACGAGATGATTTAGACGGGAAAAGAGTGCGAGATAGATTCTTATGAACATTAATATTAGATGCTGATATTCTTTGTGCCTTAATAAATTGATGCATTGCATGCATCCTTGAGAAAATGCGAATTTAATAAACGCATGCAAATTAACATACAACTACCATTTAAAAGACGACAGCTTTTTTAAAAAAGGCTCTAGTCCGCTAGGTTGAAAAGGCTTGGCGTCATGTAAGAACAAGGACATCACTATCAATGAATGTACCCGAATCCAATGAAAGAAAAAGAACAGATCGAGAGGCAGAATTATGCATAGAACCCCAATTTGCCACCGAAGGAAACACGAGGGACGAAACGTGCACCTCACTGCGGCAGGAACCAGAATGAGGGGCACCGAATCAGCCATGCACCGACGCGGCCAACAAGACAACTTGGCCTACTTAAACAGCCCTGTCAGAAATGTCTTTAACATTTCCTAGCTTCATTCTAGTGGAAGCGTGATGTGATATATAATTAATTAGATTTAAAATTTTTAATTTATTATAATGATATTTAAGATTTGATTTGAATAACTACTCTTCCGTTAAAAAATATAAGACATTTTATAAAGGGTTGAATGTTTAAAAATATAAAATATTTTTAATTTTTTGAGACGTAATCATTGCTTTTTTTAAAAAAAATATTCCTATTGACAATGACTTTATATTTATGATGGGTTATTTAAGAATGATTAATATAAAAAGATAGAATTAATTTAAAAATAAGTAATTACTTTATTAGAGGGTTAGATTCAATTAAAAATATTTTACATTTTTGAACAGAGAGAGTATAATTTTTTAAATTAGTAAATTATTTTTTAAATTATATTTAGAATAGTTATGTTTAATTACTACGATTTATAAAATTATTATACTTTTGATATATTTGTTTTATACATTTTTTAAATAAATAAGAATTAATATGAATATATTTCTTCAAAGTCAGCCCTGAGCCCTGCCTGTTCAGGATGCGCCTTCAAGACTTCCCACGTCGGCTCCCCGCCATCTCAAATATACCGGACTCAGTTGACTAATCCCCATGTATTCCAAAAGCTATTAGTTAAATTAGTCATTTTTCCATTGTTATGTGTTGACTTTTAGAAAATATCATCATTTTTCTTGAATATCTTATCTTCTTCTTCTTCCTTTTCCACACGGAGGGGAGCCGGGCACATACATTTCGCACATGCCTAGCACGCGACGCACAACAATTTCACACGCGCAAATATCCCCACTTTAACAGCATAGGAATTTGACCATGTTATGAATATATTGCATTCAAAGCTGTATTGCACACAATTTTGAGTTTACATAAACAAATAAAATACTCATTCATTTTAAATTATAAGATTGGTGTTTCATTAAATAAGTTTATTTCAATTTTACTATTTCTCTATCTATTTAATTTCTACCTTTCTCTCTTTTTGATATATTAAATAAAAAATATTTTTAAAAGTTTATATTTTTATTTAAAAATAATATTTTAGTATATTTAATAAGATTTATTAACATGTGATTTTTTTTAAATACCTTATAATTTAGAATGAAAGTAGTAGTTGCTAGTTACTGATAATTGCATTGTCCTCATCAAAATAACTAAATAAGCATGTCAAATATATATTTTCACATTTATAATCAAAATGTCAAGGAAATTTGCCTAGATCTACAATTTAGCGTCGAAAAAAAACCATGATAAGCTTTTTCATTGAAATTTACGCAAACGAATATTCAAAATTGGATGGAATTTAGCTACTCGTGAGTTCAATATGTAGATTTGTTAATTTAGGGGGAATTTTGAGATGGAAATTATTCGTGGTTATTTGGATGTGTAGATGCAACGGATGTTTGAAGGAGAACAGTTTGGTTAATGGTACAAGCGTACACACAGTTGCAGACGTACAAAAAAGTGGAGGCGAGTAAGATCCAAAATCCCAAACGCAAAGCAATATAAGAGGTAGAGTGAAGAAGCTTTAGTTTTTGTGTTCATTGACTTCTTTTTCTTCCACTTAACCCTATTTATAATGCTCTTTCAATGTCGTTGTGTCCACAAAACAAGGAGGTTAGATGCTTGTGCTGAAATATCCGCTCTTACTTGGCACAGACTTGCAACATTCGAGGCACATCGAGCAATGGTCCGACGCCCAAATAATGGTATTTCTGATTAAGTCATTCTGAATTTTGCTAGCCACATCTTTTTCACAATCCAACAGTTACTTAGTCAATGAGTTTTCTTTTAAACAAACCGAGCTTTACTTCACTTGATGATTTATTGGGCATAACTCTTCATTTGTCAGGGTCAAACGCTTTGTTTCCTGTTATTTTAGACTTTAATTAAATGTCACCTGATTTTGGGCTCTGCCAGAAACCACATATAATTGATGTTGGAAGAGTGTAACCGGAATATTAAGAAACGAAGGCTTGAGATCTAATGCATATAAAATCGAAGGGTTTGTAATATCTCAAAGAGATGGGCAGAGGATATAAACGCATTGCCAGCATTGGTCCAAATTCTTGAAAGGTGGCTGTTCGATAAAGTAGTTCACATGAAAACGATCAAATTGAAAGTTTCTGGTTGCAATACTCAAGCTGACAACCCAAGAAGTAATATTTTTTTATTAACTAAACTTCCGGGGGCAACAATTTCACTTGTTGTCCCAGAATTTTGAATACTTATATTAGATTCCCATACACCAATAATGCACCGAGCCAGGGATATTACTTTATGTGGAATTTTTATAATATTTTTTCTGTCTTAAATTATAAAATACTTATAAAAAAATTAATGTCTCAAAATATAATATAGTTTGACAATAATCAAGATTTATTAATGATATTTTTCTTGTATTACTCTTCACATATATTCTTTCTTTAATACTCCTTCACAAATGTAATATCAAATGAAGAGTATTTTTAAAAATTTTTATTTTTATTTTTAAAAAGAAAGGTTGTAAATTGTATCTAATATGCACTATTGGTATGTATAATTTTATCTAAACATATCTTATGAATTGGGATGGAGGAAATAACTCAATTTTGTTGGCCATTAAATTACTCCCTCCGGTCCTATTTATAATATGTCTTCTAAAAGTAATTTTTTGTCCAAGATGTAGGATACTTATGATAATTAAATCACTTTTTTAATTTTATCTTTTTTTATTAACGTAAAAATATTTAATGTAATTGTACCATTATTTAAAGGTAAAAATAAAAATACATCTTATTTTTTTATAATATCAAAAAAATAACTTTTTTAAAATACGTAAAACGATTGAAAGTGCTTTATAATAAAAATTAAAAATGATATATTAAATAAACACATTTGGGGATACTTTTTGGCCCTTACACATTAATGCAAGTGCAAAGGGAGACATGCATATTTTTTTTATACTCCATTTTAAATTATAAGACACCTTTTTAGAGTAAGACACTTTGATAATATTATTAAGGTTTTATTAAATAAATTTATTTTAATATTATTCTTTCTCTTTCTTTATTTAAGTTTCACAAGTCTCTCTTTTTAAATATCATAAGAAAGATATTTTTTAAAGTTTATATATTTGTTTTGAAAAAATAAAGTTGTTAAGTAAATTTAATAACTTTTAGTGGTATGTTAGATTTCGCAAATATCTCATGATTTGGGAAGAAATGAGTAATAAAAAGCAGCTTAAAATAAGCGCCAAAATTCAATTCCTTCACGATGGATAATCCTGAGTGCCTTGGAGACATGACAATTTTAGGATCAGTGAATTAAAATAACTTCTTCGCCAGTAATAATCAATCATTATCCATAATTTGAAGTTTCACAGGCTTTGTGAGCAGTGTGTGAGAACGACATTAGCCCTAAAAGGAATGACCTGCAAATGTTCTCATAGATGTGCTCATGCGTATGCCTCATGTCGACATATTAGCGGATACGGGAATGTTAGGATCAGATCCCACAAGCACACAGGTCAAGTATAAAATAGAACTTTTCACCTGTTTGCCATCTCAAAAATTGACCGGTCTGTATTGTATCCCATGGAAATTCTGCCCGATGATTGTTTAGCGCACATTTTTTCGTTGACGTCTCCTCGAGACGTAGGCCAATCCTCTGTTATTTCTTCCACGGCGCGCTCGATGGCGAATTCAGATATTATCTGGGAGAAGTTCTTACCACCCAACTATCATGAGATTCTCTCCAGGCTGGTCGCTCCTTTGATCTATTCCTCGAAGAAAGACTTGTTTCTCAGTTTAAGTAAACCACTTCCAATTGATCAGGGTAACAAGGTAACGCAATCTTCCTCAAATAAAAATAGCAAGCAATTCTGCCAACCGAATTAATCTCGATTTAAAGAGAAAATGCCGAGTTTATATTTGTATCAATATGACCTTATTAACGGAATATTGACAAGTTGTTGGTGAAACAGATGTTCTCAATAGAGAAATCAACCGGTAAAATATGCTACGTGTTGAGCGCGAGAGAGCTTTCAATTGCGTGGGGAAGCAGCCCACTCTACTGGTCCTGGAAACCTTTTCAACCCTCGAGGTTTGTACTTTCTCAGATCTGAGCCAAGCTCAGTCCCAAAGTTATGCCTGAATTTTAAAAACCAGAAAGCTTAGGGAGCGATGCTTATCATTTGGAAAATGCATGCAGCAGATTTGCAGAAGTGGCTGAACTGAGAACCATATGCTGGCTGGAAATCAGGGGGAGCATCGACGCCCGAATGCTATCTCCGAGAACGATATACGGAGCGTATCTGATAGTGAAAGTGGCGGATCGCGCGTATGGATTAGACTCGCTGCCATCGGAGGTGTCGGTGGAGGTTGGTAATTTCAAGTCAAGAGGGAGCGTTTATGTACGATGGCCTTTGAAGGAGAAGGAGGCAAGAAACTGCCAGAGAACAATATCGTCAACCTCGAGAGATGGGAAATGGCCTTGTAAGCGAGAAGACGAGTGGCTGGAGATCGAGTTGGGCTGCTTCTTCAACGGAGGAGGAGGAGATAATGAGGTCAGGATGTGCCTCAAGGAGGTCAAAGGCGTCCATTTGAAAGCCGGCCTTATTGTTGAGGGTATTGAAATTAGGCCGGTTCCATTGGACCAGGCCTTCACTTAAGCACTTATCGGGCTTTCTCTTTGTTTTCAGTCAAACCCTAACCCTAGCCCTTCTCTATAAATACCAGATTTTCCGTTTACATGTCACTCCGCTCTTAACTTGTTCCTTCTTCAACGCCCCCCGTGTCCTCGATCTTTTTTTTTTTCTTTGTTTTTTTTTACCCCCTTCTTGTTTTCGGGTTTAATGAGACGGAGTCATGTAATGGGAGCAATCTGTTGATGCGTATGGGTGTGATAACGTTATTTGAGTGACTTGCGTTGATTTGAATTTGCAAATTGCGATGAGGATATTTGTGTTTCCCAGCTCACTACGAGGCCTTTTTCTCAAGGTCTGGGAGTATAACTTCTCACATCTACCTGAGCTTTCCTGACTCGGTTCTATTTCTATTATTCTGGAATTTTTTTTTTTGACCTGGTATTATTTTGGAATTGCTATCTTTTAAACCGTAACCCTTTCACAATGAAATAAATTATATACATAGACAGACCGGTGTGTTCCGTCACGCATGGTGGAATCGTAAATGACAATGACTGTAAGCGACAGCAATTGTTACGTTAGACTGGAAACTAAAACATATTGAGTGTTCGGGTCACTAAACTCCTTAGGCCCTGTTGGTTCAAAAAAAAGGGAAAGGAAGGGAAGGGGAGGAGATAGAGGGAAAGGGAGGTGAGGGGAGAAGAGGAGAAGGAAAGGAGAGAGGGGCATCTCCTCAAATTGGACTCCCCTCCACATTAGTCGTCACCAAACAAGAGGGAAGAGAAATTTTTTTTAAAATTTTTTCTTCTCTCCTTTCCAATCAAACATGATTTTAATCTCTCCCTTTCTTCTTTCACCTATGTGGAGCATGACTAAATGAGGCACGCTCATCTCAACATATAGAGAAAATTGTACATCTATTTTTATTGGCTCCACCGAAGTGATGCATGCCTTTTATTTTATTGTGTGTATATATATATATTGTGCTCTTTTTTTTAAAAAATAATTGTGAGAATAATCACTAAATTCCTTAGGCTCTGTTGGTTCAAGGAAAGGAAAAAGAAGAGAAAGGGAGAAGATGGAGGAAAAGAGAGGTGAAGTGAGGTGAAGGGAGGAGAGAGGGGCATCCCCTCAAATTGGAGGAGCGGTTTTGAAAGAGACCCAACCAAATAGGATCTTAATCTCTTCCTTTTTCCTTTCACCTACTTGAAGCATGACTGAATGAGGCACGCTCACGTCAACATACTAGAGAAAATTGCACATTTATTTTTATTGGCTCCACGAAAGTAATGCGTGCCTTTTATTTTATTATATATATTATGCTTTTTTAAAAAAAATAATAATTGTGTCATAGATATGTTGATTTTATTAATTAATATTCTCTTCATCCTAAATTTCAAGATATTTTTGGAGGAGATTTAACATCTTAAAATATAAGACACTTTAATAATATTAATATTTTATTAATTAGATTTATCTCAGTGTTACCTTTTCTTTCTTTAATTTTTGTTTTAATCTCTTTAAATATATTAAATGAAAGAAGTATTCAAAAATTTATATTTTTATTTGGGATGAAAGGAGTTTGTCCATTCCCCCTTTTCTCATGCACTCCATTCTGACTAAAATATAAAACATTGATAATTAATTTACAATTCTAAAAGAATATGCATCCATTAAAAACCCTATATAAAATTTTTGGTAAGGCTACTTAAAATTTTAATGTATCATTTTTTCAAGAAGAGTGATAAACAAAGCATGGACGTAATTGAAAAAATAATTAATTTATATTTTAGATCAAGTAAGATTTTTAAAAAATATTTTAAATGTAGTTGGGAGAAAGTATGCTACAACCTATAAAGTATTTTGTGACAAGAGAGCTAAGGCTAAAAAAACACAACAAAGAGGGAAATATCAATCAAGGGCCCTGTTTGGTGTGAGGTATCGAATTTTATGAGATTGAAATTGAAATTGAGATTGAGAATAAGTTTTAAAATCATGTTTGATATGATATGGAATAAATAAAAAAAGACTCAATTTTTTTTTTAAAAAAAGTAGCTAAAAGACAATATTGTCCTCATATTCTCTATTATCATCCTCTCTCTTGCAAGCTTCATTGGCAAATGATGGATGGCAAAGAGTCGCTCAACCTCCATCGTCTTTGCTCCTATTCGCACTCATGTCTACGACATTGGTGGAGGGCGGCTCCATCTCTGTCTCTTTTTGCTCTTGTTTCGCCCTTGTCAAACCATAAATCATAAACCCAGAATCAGACGAGGAACAATGACGAACCCATGATATGAAGCCCAAAAATAAAGCTCAAATCATAAGGCATAAAGCTCACAAAGAATTGATCTAGTGGATTTTCTAACAAATCAAGCCATCCTTGCATTTCTTTTTAATTTACACATTTCAAAGATCAATCATAAATTCATAAACTAATAAATACACAAAAGCATAAGATATAATTCCTCCGGTTATCTCAAACCTTTAAGAAGTCAAAGGTTTCACCCCTTAATTACTCACTTTCAAAGCTTCCAAGAAGCTTGAATGGTGCCAATAGTAATTACTTTATAAGCATTTACCATGCAAAACATCAATATCTATATTTAAGCTATTTTTTGCTAATACTTTATCATTTCTTAATACTCAAAATTTATTCTTAACTCATATAAAAGTACCCATAAAACTTATTGGCTTCCTTTAACCCTCATTAATAACATTGAGCTATTAAATTATTAATAATAAAACCACATTGTTCCCAACCACCATGTTTATGAGAATTTTTGGACATTTAATGTCCTTCAATTACTAATCATCATAAAACTACATATACTAAGTTTACTTAGCTTAATCCACTCTCATTAACTCTATTTAAATCAATGAGTTTTGACCCATAACTTCTATAGATCAAAAATCATTATTATCAATCAAACCTTAATCTCTACCATCAAGAAAATGGAAGAAGAGAGGAAGATTTAAGTAGAAAAACTTACCTTTAATGTTTAGAAGCTCCAAAATACTTTCAATACTTAGTTTTTTCCAAACCCCAGCACTGCTCTCTCATTGGTCTTTCGTTTCTTTATTTCTTTTCTTCTCTGATGTATCAAATTCGCGACTTATTTTAGCAAAAAAATGACCACACACCGTGGCATATGGCACAGAGAACCTCTTTCAAGCATGTTATTGTGCATACACTGTGGCGGCCCATCCACAAGTCATGACGCGTGACACAAAATTACTTTCTTTATAAATTCTTCCTCTTCCATTATCGGCTGGCTTGATTCTCCTTTGAACCCGCGTTTAGAACTGAAATCGAGACCAAACACGCTTGTTAAGCCTCCCTAGCCACACACCTCACTAATATACTTAATTAGTTTATTTGAGCTTAATTAATCTTGATTTAAAATTGAGGATGTTACAATTATTGTTACCTGTCATATTTAATTAGTTGAGATAACTATAAATCCATGGCCAGTTAAATGCATTAGTGTAGCATGCACCCAATCAAAGACTTTTTCACACTTTAATTTCAGTAAAATATTTTCAAGTAGACACAAGAAATATAACCATCTATTTTTTAAAAAGAGGTTATATAGGGTTCAAACTTTATTGTTATGCTATCATTTGAAGTAGTGCCATCTCAAGTGGTATATGAATAATTTTTACAGTCATTTAAAATGATCTATATATCAACCTTCAAATCTTTTTCAACAACTTTTGAATTATGAGTTATTAGGTTGTCAAGTTGTGAATAAATCTTAACTTTATTTTCTTTGTATTGTTTTTGTTATTATGTTTTATGTCAATGAACTCAAAATTTTTTAGCTAGCAAAAAAAAAAAAGATTAACCCACTAACCTTTACTCAAATTAATGTTAAATTTATTTTTACTTTCTTGACTTTTACAAGTTAATTATATTTTCATGTTTAATCGTGTGACGTTAATAATTAATGATAGATAAAGCTTGTAATACTATAATAAATTTGTAATTTTTAAAATTATAAAAAATATATTAAAATATTTTTATTGGTGAATTAGCCGTTTAATGCAATAATCTGTTATAGCTCGGTAGAAGTACAATTCGCATAAGATGTGCCTAACGGCTTTAATTTATGCAGACAAATCTTGGTTTGAATAGAGGGTAACAAAATGGAGAGGGCAGCATAAATGAGGTCAGCCAGTCCATTCTGATGCTTCATGAGGACTGTGCCTCTGCTTTTTATGCGGCTCTAATTTACACATCCTGATAGCTGTGATCTTGACCTCCACGAGTCCACCCTGGTGGTGTTTACTGCCGTGCCGTCTTTTCCCTCACGGTCCTTTACATGTTAATGTACTCCCTCCACGCTACAACACGCCACGTGATTCACTTCCTTCCTATTCCTTACCAATCCTGATCCGTATTGTATAGTGTTTTCTGTTTTGGCTCTTTTAGGAGCACGAGCATATTTTATATGACGTCCACGTCCTGTGGGCTCTGTTTTCCCACCAAAAGCACTCCCCTCCGTCTTCTGTCCCTTTCGCTCACATGCTTTCATGTGTCCTTATTTCTGATTTCCGGACAACCACTGAATTCACCCTCGAAAAACGACATCCTTTGATTATTCTCTACTTCGATTTCTCCCCACGTCCATCAACTTGTCCTCCCTTCATTTGTTTCCGCCTTTACTAATCTCCCTTGCCCCCCAGTTCTTTAAAATCTGACTTGATCTCGCTCCACAACGTGTATCTAAAAATGATTCTCGTTAGAGCTGACCGAATTATCATTCATTCGCGTCACTGTCCGGTGTGCGGTAAATTGAGTGTGCAGGTCACACGTGTCTCTACTTTCTTTCTATTTGACAACGACATCCTGATAATTAAGTCACTCATTCATTGCTTGGATTGCCGTTGAAGAATCGACAGATTAATTCCTAGCATTCTAGAAAGTGTAACAATAATTTCAACTTACGAGTCCGACAAATCAAATAACTGGGTGTTAGTACACTTCATTTTATTACCCTCTATATTTTAAGTCAGGCGGCTGGAACCTAGATATGGAATTTAATCAAAATAAATTGAGCAGTTGATCAACTTCATTTAAAAAATTTAAGCAAAAAGGAAGAGTTGCATCCATACAGTCAGCCGATCGCACCTAAAATTCCATACATCCAGGCTACGGACTGGATGTTAAATGGGCTTTTACACGCAAGTCAAATGTTGTCTCGTCGATAGCGAGCGTTAAAGTGATGATTAGACTTTAAAGGCACTGAATGGAATGATCCGATCCGATCTACGATCTGCTTCCCGACTCATCCACTATACTCTTCAAAGTTCAAACCAAAACCTTGTGTCCGATTATTCTTGCCACCTTAAACTCTCTTCCCGTTTTATTCCCTTTGCTCCTTAACTTTCGACGACATCTCTTGACCGCTTCTCAAATCAACGAATGCTCTTTCCTTCCTGCCTCTAAACTTTACTCGCGCCGATCCCTTCCCTACCGTAATGTCGGAATCCGAAATTTCAACGAGAAGCCTGAGCGAGATCCCCGATATTGCCGCCATACGTTTTGGAGTCGATCTCGTGTCAGCTGCCAGGCGAAATATATGGTTCATGAGAACTGTGGCCGAATGTCACTTCCTTCATCACCCTCCCGCTCTTGCTGAAGCCATCAGAAGGTCGACTCTTTCCGCTGCTCTCTTCTAATCTCATCTCATGGTGGCTCTTGACGGATTTTCCTTTTCCCAGGTATCATGAATTGTGGATGCCCTTGATCTCTGATCTGATGGCGCCTGATTCATCCCCTCCCATGATTCTCCCCCCCTTGGACGTCGACTGGGTTTGGTTCTGTCACACATTAAACCCGGTAAGTGCTTTTTCTCCCCTAAATAACTGACAACAAGCTAGCTGATAGCGGAAAATGAAGGGAACTTTGTTCGTTGCTTTATATGCCCACAATTTCATTTGTCTCTTGTGCATTCAGTGCTTACTGCCGCCTGCCAGATATGGGAGGAGATCAAAATGTAATCATATTCATGTTGCTTCTGCTTCTAATTATCTTGCTGAATGTACTGAAATCTAATTTTGGCAATGATTCAGGTAAGTTACAGGGAATACTGCGAGATGAAATTCTCGAAACTTATAGGAAGACCGACAATTTTCGACGAGGAGAATGAAGAGTACGCGATGATGAGGTGTCGTGAAATTTGGAACCGTACATACCCGCTAGAGTCATTTGAGAATGAAGCGAATTTAGATTCCGTGGTTGTTAAAAATGAAGATGACTTGTATAGGGAAGTGGCAAAGCATAGATTGTTGTACTCTAAGTTTCCGGAGGCGTACAGGTCGGAGGTCTTATACTTAATAGCTGCAAGACAGAGATACAAGGCGTTTTTGCATATGGTGCAGAGGTTCGCAGATGGGTCTTGCCGTTTCGTACCTACTTCGGACATCATGTTAATGTGGCTGACCCACCAGGTGTGTTAATTGCTCCCACTTGTTTTCCTTGTAGCTGTTGGAATTGCAACTTGAGCTTCTTCTGCGTAAAACACTTGCCTTCTTTATGTTATCATTTGAGCTTCTGGATCATGGTCCATATTTTTGTTTGGTTATCTTTTCCCACCAACCAATGGCTTTATAGAGTCATGGGATAGCGCATGCTTAGTAGTATTCCTCTGGTCTTATTTATAGAGCAGAAAAAGGAAAAAAAATTTGATCTCATAGGACATTTGTCAATTTTCAATGCTTTTTTTTTCTTCATATTTTTGCCTTTATTAAATGCTTTAAATAAAAATATCAGTCATGAAATTTAAAAATATTTATTAAGAATAAAGATAAAAACTTGTTAAATTTTAAGATAAAGATATTTTTTTAGTTTTTGCGAAACATGTTGAAAATAACTTATAAATAAGATCAGATAGAGTATTAGGTTAAAAATGAAAGATTATTATTTTTTGGGGGGTGTTACAACAGAAAAACATTAAATAAAGTTTATAGGGTTGTACTGCTTTACTTTATTAGTTTAATTTTTCACCAATTTGTCCAGTCATTGAGTGATAATTCTCATCGATGCTTATTGAAGGTATCACCTCAGCCTTAACTTCTGCCCTTTGATAAAGTAGTTCTATTTGACTATACAGAATCGGTAATGGAAAATTGAGCACCAAATTCTTTAAGAGATTCCTGAATATTATTTTTATATCCAATCTGATTTTTGGTATATTTTGTAAAATAATGACATGAGTGTAATAATTTTACCTTTCTGATTGATCATCTTTATACTTACTTTGTTTCCTCCTTGCATGACTCTATTAATGGCCTGAAATTATGAATGGAGTAGAGCTACCCAACTGTGTATATGGAAGATTTAAAAGCGTTGGGCCTAGAGGGTGATATGTGGAAGGTGGCAACTATGTGGGAAACCCCAGAGGAAAAAGACGTTGGAGTGACCAAGAAGTTATGGGACAGGGCATTTAATCAACCTTATGAGAAAGCTGGTGGAGGGGTGGCTCTAACATTGGATAAAGTTGCCACAATGAACTCTCCAGTCTACTGGGTGGAATCAGACAACGATGTCAATACAAAATACAAGTCCATGCTTCCAAGATTTTTGCTTGAGGTCAATTTTTTATTCTCGTTCTCTTCGTCTGCGTTGTTGTTATCCCTTTTATGCTTTCTGATATCTCCTTGTATTTTTCTTTTTTCCTGTCCAGGGAAGCTTACCCAAAGCCTATATCTGTATGCTTTGCATGTGGCATTACTTCATGAAAATACATGAGCACATTGTAATGATAAAGTGCATCTTGATTTTATGATGTAGATTTGTGTATTTTTGAGGCTTAATTCGAGGACCAAGGCATTGCAAAAGGATATAAACCGTGATTTTCTACGCCTACGAGTGGTAAGGTGTCATAGCGAGCTAAAGCTTGATAAGGCCTTCTCCAGTCTCCTCTTTGATTCATGGGAAAAAGCCTGGCAAATTTACTGTGAGTTCGGGACCAAGGGAGTCACACTTGAGTGTCGTCGCCATGGCAGTAACTGTCTAAAAGGAAGTAGCCTCCAAGAGACCATGACATTCCGATGGAATGATTTGTTGAGAGCAAATTCTATGACTTTGGAAAAGGAACTTAGTGGGCAGGTTACTGTTGTTACTTCAATAACTCCACCGGTTCAGGCCCCATATTTGTTAAAATGTGTGCCTGATCGAGTCACAGATGATTCAGGGGCAATGATTTCTGATGTGATTCTGAAGATGAATAATTATCGCCCACAAGAAGGCCGGTGGTTGTCTCGCACAGTCCTTGACCATGCAGGGAGAGAGTGCTTTGTCATCAGAATTCGGTGAGCTTTTATAACTCTACGTTTGTACTTGGACATGTATAGTTCGTAATTCAAGTTAATACTTCCTATCACTTGGATACCATTTTGTGCATGCTTTATTTAATTGAAGAGAAATGTTTAAATTGCAGGGTAGGAGGAGGATTTTGGAGAAGAGGAGGTGAAACCCCTTCAACTGTGAAATGGGAAGACAGGATCATAGAGATACGAGAAGGATCTTGGTCTTATGTGGCTTCTGGTTCTATCGGGAGGGCTCCTGGTATGTTTTGTTTATGTTACATAAATACTTAGTCTTTGTTAAAGGTGTTTGCTATCATATATTTTCCTTAATCATCTTGGTGGCATCAAATAGGTTGTACTATTCATCTTCTGAAATCAAATCAGATAGGTTCTCAAGTAATTATCATTTATTTATTTGTTTCTGTCTAGTACAGAGAAGGTGGTAGCCACAGCAACACCAGCAGAACCGGGAGAGCAACGGAAAGCTGCATGGTGTTTTTCAACAGGAGATGAACTAATTATACAGTGGGAATCATCACTATCGATGTCGGGTCTCAGCTTTGTTTGACAAATCAAACATCCCCGGAGTCACGGGTACAGTAGAGACTTCTCTAGTCTCAATTCAATTACCACAATGAAATGCACAGGATCAAAATATTCAGGTTCTTGAAGTTGGCCTAAGTCATAATCCTCAATTGCAGGTCAAGTTATTGAAAGGTAGGCGAATGCAATATCAAGTAAAGAAATCAAAAAGCAAAGGTGAGGAAACCCAGATGGAGGAGGGGGAGGAGGAGGAGGAGGACGACGACGACGAAGGATTTGTTACGCTTGTCCGTTTCACAGAAGAGAGCCCGAATGGAAAGGCAACGGCTCTTCTGAATTGGAGGCTGTTGGTTGTTGAATTGTTGCCGGAGGAAGATGCAGCATTGGCACTACTCCTTTGCATTTCAATACTGAAAAGCGTATCGGAAATGAAAAAAGAAGACGTGGGACGTTTGTTAATCAGGAGAAGGATAAGGGAACAAAAGCTTGGTACTAGAGATTGGGGTTCCGTTATGCTTCATCCATCTTCATGGTCCTCGACTATTGATTCACCTTATGTTCAACCCTGGTATTGGAATGCCGATACAGTCATGGCTTCAAATGTAGCAGATCGTCTCAAAAGGCAGCCGCCACTAAATCAATCACCAGTGGAAGGCAGTGATAAGTTATACAAGCGTGGACTTCTAAGTTGAACGATTGCTCCACAGGAGTAGCAGATCTTGCTAGAAACTTAGAAGATTTGTGCTCCATTATTTATTTTACCTCTGGTCCTGCCATTTGGAACGAGCTTTAATTTCTTCTAAGAAAAGAAATACATGGTCCAAGAGCCAGGAATGGACTCAACTCATTTTCTCAACAAAAGAAATGGATTCCTTGTGAATAATTAAATCTGTAATTTAGTCTAGTTCCAATGTAAATAAAGTGAATTTTGACTGAAACTGAAAAGATGTTCGGAATGAACGCATCTGGGGAGGGACAAGAAATAATAGAACAATGGGCGAAATCAGCTAAAACGCTTCCAAGGCGTGTTCTTTTTTGCTTGACAAAACAGATGTTCTTCTTATCCCTCGCAGACGGGGGAGACAGAGACATCGCGGTGGAGCCCACTTCTAATGATGGTCGATCCAATGATAAGTTGTGGAGCGCCGTTGGATTGGGACTTTGCATTATCATTTCCAAAATTTGAAATGCAGCCGTTCATAGTTCATATAATTACGCGGTAGTATATAGGTACGGTTGTTGCAGCCTGCACCTTCCTGTAGGTGGCGGAGGCCCACACATCTTATCTCATACACAGTCCTATCAATGTTTGCCCATGACTCATCATCGCTTCTTTTCTCGCCACGTGCATGTATCACCGTGTCCGTCACATCCTTTTCCCCATCCTACGGTCAGATGTTTTCCCCATCACCAAGTCTCTTTCTTAGCCTTCTCGAAATTGTTTAGTCTTTTTCGGTTTTTCCTCATCCCTCCAGATTCCAGTTGCATAATGCCTACCATACCGTCGCATTTTGGTTTAGATCCATCAAGACAGAGATAATCCTGTGGCCTCTGGGTGGGCGAGAAGACGATGTGCCAAAACAATTAAACTAATGATATATCTATGTAAACAGTTTACACAATTATAGGTATGTACTTTAGAATGGATTTCAACTTATATGGATCGTTTTGTTCACTTACCAAGTGGGAAAAAATTGTATTCTTGTTTAGCTGCCCAAAGGCGCATTAAAATTTCTCAAAACAATCACAGGGCATTTATGGCAAAGGAGACGTAAGTCGTGCAGCGAAATTCACGCGAATGAGCATTTGCCACGCTACAAAAAGTGTGAAGGAAGAGTTTGGGGATGGGGAGGAGTACAAATCTGGACGTGCCCGTACATGAATGAAAAGCACGCACTATCTCTCTGTCCTCTGTTTTGGCTTCACCGCCGTTCCCAGTTTCCGTTCCCTGATATTATTTGGTTCATCAATCTCCGATTTCCCATACCGTTGAAATTAACATCACCGACACAATGAACCTACCCCCTGAGGAAGCTCATCTTCGATTACTCTGCGCCCTCTCCAAATCCATTCATCACCCTCTTCTCCATCTCCGCCTCTTGTTTCTGTTTGTTCCTACCTAAGCTTAAACTTCGATGAATCCTTTTTTCTCGAGTTCGGCGCCTACTCTCAGTCTTCTGTTTCTTGTTTCTTTTAAAAAAAATACGGAACCAAGAACTTCAATTCCCTCGGCGGTTGAGATTCGGAATTTTTTTATTTAAAAATGTTTTCTGAATCTATGCTCCGTCTTTTAACAGAAGACCTGCTTATACGAATTCTTGACAAGCTCGGCTCCGACGCGGATCGGAAATCATGGCGGCTTGTTTGCAAGGAGTTCCTTCGTCTTGAATCGCTGACCAGGCGAAAAGTGCGGATCCTCCGTATTGAGTTCTTGCTTGGGTTGCTTCGAAAGTACTGCAACATTGAGACACTGGACCTCTCCGTATGCCCGCGGATCGACGATGGAGCCGTTTCAGTGTTGCTGACTCATGGTTCACTAAATTGGACCGAAGGACTGAGAAGGCTGGTGCTCTGTCGGGCAACTGGGTTGGGGTATAGAGGGTTGGAGCTGTTAATTCGGGCATGCCCTTTGCTTGAGGCCATTGATGTTTCCCATTGTTGGGGATTTGGGGACAGAGAAGCAGCTGCGCTTTCGTACACAACGAGGTTGAGGGAGCTGAAGATGGACAAGTGCTTGGGGCTGACTGATGTTGGTTTGGCAATGATAGCTGTTGCTTGTAGCAATTTGAAGAGCCTGAGTTTGAAGTGGTGCTTTGAGATTTCTGATCTGGGCATTGATCTTCTTTGTAAAAAATGCTTAGATTTGGAGATTCTCGATATTTCATATTTGAAGGTTAGTTTCACCTTCTAAGCCAGAGAAATCATCTTGTTTAAATAATGACAATATTGGGAATTCAATAGGAAGGAATCCAAGAGATATATACCTACATCAGTGACAGTACTGTGCAATACTAACTGTTGTACTCAATCTTATCCAATTTTATGTAAAATTCTATGGAATATTTCAGACAACGGTTTTGGGTTTTCCTTCTTAAACTACTGGTGATAATATCTGATCTCTTATTTTCAAAGCTTGAGTGCATTGGAAAATAGAGAAGAAAGAACACCTTTATCCGTTGCTTGACTTATAGGAATTGGTGTTGCCATTCAAAAGAACAGGATGATTTAAATGAGTTGGTGAGACTCTTCTGTGTTGCATTCTTAGATTAGTCAGTAAATATACACAGAACATTTTATAATTCTGAGATCTCTCCTCTTGCAGGTGACAAGCGAATCCTTGCAATCAATTGCTTCTCTGTCAAAGCTGGAGCTTTTGGTCATGGTTGGCTGCACTTTTGTTGATGACGTTGGACTGCGGTTTCTTGAAAAAGGATGCCCGCTTCTTAAGGTGATGTATTTATGCTGCCAGTTTCTGAATTCTGCTGAAAAATGGTTTGGAAGTTGATGAAAGTAACCAAGGATGCTTTATGGGGCAGAACACACACTTTTCTCTAATATTGACTGTGTATTTTCCACTGGAGTGCAGGCAATTGATGTATCAAGGTGTGATTTTGTAAGTTTGTCTGCTTTGGCATCCATAGTAAGTGGACATAGCAGTCTTGCGCAGATAGATGCAGGCTATTGCTTCTTGGTCAGTTTATTATGAATTTATTGCTGTGTCTGATATTTGTTAATGTATTTCATTGTATTAATTTTGTGCACATACTCAAACCTCAGACATTTCTGACAGGAGCTTTCATTATCCCTTGTTGAGTGCTTGAAGAATTTAAAGAACTTGACCTTGATTAGAATCGATGGTGTTCAAGTTTCTGACCTTGCCCTCCAGATCATTGGCACCAGCTGCAAGTCTCTGTTGGAAATTGGTTTAAGCAAATGTATCGGAGTCACCAACATGGGAATCATGCAGCTAGTGTCTGGCTGTGGTAAATTGAAAATTCTCAACTTGACATGTTGTCGATTCATCACTGATGTTGCTATCTCTGCTATAGCAGACTCTTGCCCCCACCTCATCTGTCTGAAGTTAGAGTCATGTGATATGGTGACTGAGAAGAGCTTTTATGATCTTGGATCCCGATGTTTGCTACTAGAGGAACTTGATCTTACTGAGTGCTCCGGGATCAATGATAGAGGTAAGTTTATGAATTTGTCTATGAGTATAGTACCTCTGTTGTGGGTAATCCGAATTCTTTTTCATCTAAATACTGTTAGGCGTTGTTTGAAATCGCCACTAATTCAGATACAAACTTGCCCTCACTTGTTACTTTTTCATTTGAATCTGACATGCTTCTTTCATGCAGCACTCAAATATCTATCCAGATGTTCTGAACTCTTGACATTGAAGTTAGGTTTATGCACCAACATATCAGACGTAGGATTGGCATATATCGGGTGTAACTTCCCTAAGCTGGCTGAACTTGATCTCTACCGGTATTTTCCTCTTTTTCTTTCTTTATCTCTTTTCCAAGTGTTTGGGAGCTTTGAGGCGAGTCTCTTTGAGTTCCTTCTGTTTTGATGTTGCAGCTGCGCATGTATTGGAGATGATGGGCTGGCAGCACTCGCTGGAGGTTGCAAGGGACTGATAAAGCTCAACGTGTCATACTGCAATAGAATTACAGATAGGGGATCGAATACATTAGTTATCTAGGTGAACTGTCTGAACTGGAGATGCGCCGGCTGGTGAATATCACTAGTATTGGTATAAGGAAAGTTGCAGTCAACTGCAAAAGACTGGCAGATCTGGATTTGAAACATTGCGAAAAAATTGGTGATCCAGGCTTCTGGGCCATTGCTTTTCACTCACACAACTTGAGACAGGTATTATTAAAGTAGTTTTGGTCTACCTACTAGAAATTTCTAGCTTCTGAAATAAAAGCAAAGTAGAAATGTATATCGAACAACTTAGTTAAGTGATAATCCTCTGGGTTTTTACACTCGAAGCTACTGCTAACTGATGAGTTGATAAGATCCTCTTAAAGATTTATTCGCGAAAGAAACGACAGAAGATAAATTAAATCTGATTTTGTTATTTAGTTTTTGATTTAAGATGTTTTTGATTTAAGATTTTGTTATTTAATTTACATATTATCTAGGAGATTTTATTTAGATATTTAGTTAGATTTATATTTTTATTCATTTATTGAGATCTTATTTAGATTTAGATTTTATTTAGTCTTTCATTATCTAGTTATCTAGATTTCATTTATATTTATCTTTATAAATATGTTTAGCAACTCAGAAGCTAGCATATCATCATCAATAAAATAGTTCTTAAATCCTTTTAGAGATTCTCCTGAGTGTGGTTATTAAGAAAAAATATAAAACAAGATTCTTGTTCCATATTATCTCAATAGAATTGTTCTTCCTGTTTTCTTTTATCTTGAGCGTTCTAACCTGGTTGGAATGAATTTTTTAGAGTGGTAGGCATTCTAATTGAATTTGGTAATGACGATGGTGGCAGATAAATATGAGCTACTGTGCTGTTTCGGACGTGGTTTTGTGCCTTCTCATGGGGAACCTGAAGCGGCTGCAGGAAGCGAAATTGGTTAATATTGCTGAAGCTACCGTGAAAGGATTGGAACTTGGCCTTAGAGCCAGTTGCGGTCGGATTAAAAAGGTGAAACTGCAGTCATCTCTCAGGTTTTTGCTCTCTTCGGAAATACTGGACTTACTGCACTTACGAGGGTGCAAGATCAGATGGGATTAGCATTTCTTTCCGTGGCAAGTTAACAAGACTTTCTTTTATGTTTTCTTTTTTCCCGAAACTGATGTTGCTTAATGATTACTTCAAGACTATTCCAGAATGTGAACCAAGCCTCTTTCAAAATTTAAACAACGCTTATTGAAGCAGGATCAAGAACAGTTTATGTCGTTAAAACATAAAAGTTGAGTTACATGTATACATTTTGGTCATATGGTGCTGGCGCAGCCTTCGATATTTCTGCAAAAACTTCATCCAAAGTCTATCTTCGTTATTTTTTTTTATTTTTAATAAATTCTGAAGAGAGCATGAAAAAAAGGCAAAAGTATGCTTGAGTTTTTTTTTTTTTTAATTTGTAAAAGAACTTGAATACTTGTTTGTTCAGCCTTTCACTACAAAATCAGATTTTCGAAGGCCTGATTTCAAAGAAATTCTGGCAAAAGGACAAAACTACTTGATACCTAGTCTACTGAATCTGATATTCCATATATGTGTGTCCGTGAGTCTACTTGGAGTTAGAAGTGAACACCCCAGCAATTTTACGAAGTAAATCTTCGCTTGTTCAAAAGAACCAAAAAATTGTGGGAGAGTGAGAGAGAGAACGATGGGCTGCCCGTGATGAACGCATTATCGTAAAGGTAAAATATCATTTAAAGACACTGATTGTATTTAATATCAATTAAGCACATAAAAATTTTGAAATATCACTATTGGATTTGATTTGAAAATAATTTTAAATACAAACAAATTATAATACCCTCTCCTCTCCTTTTGGGGGGGGGGGGGGAATTGGGGCCAATGCCCAACTTTGTTCAACAAAAGTTCTTATGGGCATGGATATGCCCATCATGTCTCTATATGACAATTCCTACAACTCTACTAGGGGTTCGTTCAAAAATTCAGCCCCCCCCCCCCCCAATTCAAACTTAACCCTGCAAGATTATCTGCACAACAATTTCCCTCTCTGTAAGTATGAGAAACACTCACATCCCAAACAAGATTTCTCATCCTTAAAACATCAAGTAAAATCCTATTATTAGACTCATTACAATCAAAAACTTTACTTGTAAAGAAGCTACAAATGATAAATCAGTTTCAACAATTACCTTGCTAATTCTAAGTGCTTGTGCCAACTTGAAGCCAGACCAGACACCCCATAATTCTGCTTCAAATGTTGTACAAATACCCACCTTATTATAAAAACCTCCCAACCATTTTCTTGCATCATCTTTGAGCAACCTCCCAAATCCAGTAGACCCAAGTTGGCCTCTTGTAGCTCTGTCCACATTCAATTTAACCCACCCACTATCTGGTGCTTTCCACCTTACAGCACACCAAACTTTATTCCCCTAAACCAACTCCTCTCCTAAAAAACCATTCTTAATTCCATCAACATACTTCATAATAGGAATCTTAGAAATGATATCAGCAATAAACAAAGGATCAAAAACATTGCTTATTCCTCCAATACCACATAAACCAAACTGCCACACCAAATAACAACCTCCAGCCCTTCCAACAACTCAAATTATTCACTAGCCACTCCCCTTTCTCATGCTAAAAAACTCCTCAACTTGACTTACATTTAGCAATTTCAACCACACAATTCTACTCTTCTCACAATCCCTTAAAGCGTGCACAACATCCTCATCTTCCACCTTACGTCTATTACACAACTTATTTATCCCCAATATCCTCCCACGATTCATAGAAGTAAACAAATTCCCTCGACAGCCAGCCACAGGAACACCTGAATTGTTCTAGGACCCTTCCAACTTCACACAAACTTCCATTCTTTACACACCTGTCCTCCATTCCACCCACTCAAGACTTCATAATAAATTCTCCTCTTCTCTTTCCTATCCACATAATTTCATCCAGCCCATCCTCCCTACTAGGAGGTAAACTAGCATTTGTGAATTAATAAGTATCTATTATCATTTAACAATAATCACTAATTGATAAGTTCAACAATAAGAGAGAACTTACTTGTAGGAAATGATAATTGTAGATCACGTTTCAATAAGTAACAATTCATTAACTAACATGTACCCAGTTGCATTTAATAAGAAATTATTTGCTAATTAACAAGTGCAATAATATGAAAGGATTTGATTGTGAGAAGTAATGATTAAAAAACTAAACCAAACTGACAGTTGGATTGTCAATTGCTCAAGTTGAAAAAATTGTTTGGGGAATTGGGTCGGATTAGGCTTTTTTGAACTAGCAATCGGATTGGAAATCCAATTTAGAAAATCAAACTACTCAAAAAATAACCTTTTCTTTTTTTTATTTTTGTCAATTTTTTTAACAATTTGCTATTATGTTGTATCACATGGCTTATTAAGTCATGGTAAAATTAAAATATAAAAAATTAATCTTTTAGTCCTCCAATTTTTAATTTACTTGTAACTTGGTCCCTCAACTATGATTCACTATAACTCAGTCTCTCAATTATGACTCGTTTATGACTCAATCTCTCAACTTTTGAATCACTTACCAATTAGTCCCTAAACTTTTGTTAATTTTTTTTCATGTTAGCTTATATCTCATATCAATGAACAAGAGGAGGGATTTTAGAATAATATCTGAGTATATTTTTTATCCCTCTTATTTGATAAGAAATTTTTTAAAAAAATTAAAAAATAAAGATCAATTATAGGTGAATCAAAAGTTGAGAGACTGAGTCACAACGAGTTATAGTTGAGGGACTGAGTCACAACAAGTCATAGTTGAGGGACTGAGTTACAAGTGAGTTAAAAGTTGAAGGATTAAAAGATTAATTTTTTCTTAAAATATTTAGTTTTATTTTTAAGTTAAGTAGCAATTTCATATTTATTTTTATATTTATATTATTACAAACATATATAATTTTTTAATTTAATTATTATGTCATTGTGGATCATGGACCATGTGAACATTAGTGAGAAGTGACAAGTATAAATTATATTTTAACAAGTAGTTATTCATTAATTAACAAGTACTCATTCATATTTTATAAAAAATCAATTGCAAATTGACAATGCAAGTTTCAGAATTTTAAAAAACTTGATTGTGAAAAAGAATAATTGTAGATTATATTTTAACAAGTAGTCATTTATTAAATAATAAGTACCCAATCACATTTAATGAGAAATTATTTACTAATTAATAACTTAAAAAAAGTAGAGGTATTTTAATATTTCCCTATCTAAAATTATTTTTAAATTAACTCCCTAATCATGCAATAATATTTTATAATTCCTTGGTTCTTATTCGATATTAAATATCTGTCATGTTCCTTGAATGATATCTTCCCTGCAATTAAAAAACATTCCTTTTGCGCCGTGTCAGAACTCAGGAAAAATCTCAACGTCAGGTTCAAGTTCATCATGAAAAGCGCGTCTGTTTGTATTCTTGGCAAGTCCAATTTATTTGCAGAATGCACCTGATTTTGGCTGACATGTCTTCCGCCACATATACAACTGTCCCTCCGCAAAACTTCCTTGCCTTCTGGTTTTGCTGGACCTCACTTAAATCTTATTATATTGACAATCCGTTACTTCACCTTCCGCAAGCAATGTTGAAGCCTCTTATTTTCAGCTCCAAACATATCCTCCTTGTTCCTCTGTGTTTTCTCCCTAAAATACTTGGAGGAGCTAGACTATCATCGCGGGCAATCTCAATGTGGTTGATGGCTGGGCCACCTTCCAATCTACTGCCTTTGTCGAGACTTAGTTGAAATCAACATCCCATTTGCCCTTTAAACAAGCAATAATTTCAACACTTTCCACTCACCTTATAACCGAAAAACTCATCATCAGCGGCAATTTTCGGAATACGGGGACATCAGAAACTAACCCAGTTTCACAGATTCCAAGTGACTTTAATGGTTTCATTTAATATATTAGTGTTGCGTGCACCTGTGGCTGTGAACATAACATGTCGTAGCACTGCTGGAGCCGCCAAGCATCAGGCAATTGGGTAAACATGGCAGACATGTCCAAGAACTGTAACATCAATGGCACTGTGGACTTCATATTTGGGAATGCGGCTGTTGAATTGAAGGTCGATGATTTATTTGTTAACTTCGTCTTAAGACGAGAAGGAGGACGTGGTTTCCTTCTCGGTGATCAATATGAATTTTCAACAAGGTTAAGGCAAAGTTAAACATCTCGATTAACTTTCCACGATGGAATATTATTTCACGACCAAAAATAGGGCAACCACACCAGTCTGAAGACAAACACGAAACTCAGTGTCTGTCTTGCTGATAATTAAATCTGTACTTGAGTAAAAAATGTTCAATCCTATCACAGTCTTCACAGAAATTAAGACTGAGACACGACCAAACATCAGATAGGATAACGGGCAGGCGGTTCAACCCCCGGGGGGGTTGGCCAATTGCGTTTTTTTTCAAAGCAATATAATTATTAAAAAATATTGAAACTCATGCAACGAAAGAGCAGGGGGAAAACAAATTTAAACCCTAAAGATACAATTTTAATTAAGGATCCATGAGAACCTGACACTTATTCCAGAGGAATTTCCATGCATAATACAGTGTCTAAACCAAGTAATAGAATTGTCGTAAGTGAATTTCTTAGAATCTACCACGCTGGAACTATACGTCGTGAGAAAGGCTATTAGGCCAAGAGGAATTGTGGAGCAAAATGTGTGTGGTTTCCGTGTTTGTATATTTTTATTTGCAAGACAAAGAAACAAGACATTCCGTATATATCTAGATTGCCTTTTGACTTTTCCTTTTCCTCCAAGCCTCTCAATTTTGGAACAAACCTAACAAACTTTTCTGTAATATATAAACATCATCTCCATGGCCACAAAACGCAGGCTTTGGAGGGATTTGACAGGGGTTCCTACCGCCTCACACCTCACCCGGCTGTTTTTTCTTCCCTCAGCAGCGGCTCCGTTTTTCCTTGTATGAAATTCTCGTCCATGCATGTTTCACATTTGTCTATTTATTTTAACTAATCATTCCGATCTATCTCCTTAAAAATTTAAAATGAATGAAGGTTTTGAGGGAACTGCTGATGCTTGATTCAAAATGGCTGATCGAGAAGCTACACTGAGAATAAGAAGACTCGCTATCATCGGCGTGTCTAGTTTCTTGCTGGTGGCCATGGCGGTGGCCGTCACCCTAGGTGTCAGCATGAATCAAAGC